CATAGTGGAGTCTCTCTGCTGGCTGACATGAGAAATAGGCAGCCTGCCCAGCAGACACTTGATCTCCTACCACCAACCTTTACACAGCATGAAGCTGCCCAGTACCACTGGTGGCAAAGTAGCTCCTGCTCATCTGCAACTCAGGTATGTTTCTCTTCCTCTCAATCATAGAGCCTCACCCTCCCAGGTGGTGCTAGGGCTAGGTAAACTGGTTCTTTCTGAGCTGGGAACAAGTGTAAAACTTGGAAGATTGTGGTATTTGGTCTTAGGAACAGGAATATTTCGTCTACAGCTTCCTACCTGAAAATGAGGGATAGTTTCCTACCTCTTGCCTATTAAATCATCAAAGGTTTACTGGAGAGGGCAGCGGCAGCTGCGTTCCTAAAATGCCAGTTCCTTCTGAAGTATCTCAGTCTTTTTTCAGCATTCCAGGCCGAGTCCCCTAGGCCCTGGCCTAGAGGCGCAAGGGAAACAGCTTACGTTGTCCTCCAGGTGGCCATTGCAGCCTGGCTGGGCCAGCAGCAGCTTCACGATCTCCACGTGCCCGTGCTCGCTGGCACACATGAGGGCTGTGGAGCCCTCGTCGTCCTGGATGTTGACATCAGCCCCGCAGGCCAGCAGGCCTTTCACCATGTCTATCCGCCCGTGACTGACTGCCAGCATGAGGGCCGTCTGCCCTGCCTGTGGGAAGGAACAACGGACTTCAGAAGTACATACTGAGCTGGTAGGGGATGGCTTGTAGCAGGGCTGTGCTGGGGGAGGGAAGAGAAGAGTGTGATGACAAGAGGGGAAAAACTGTAAATGGTATTGCTTGGGCAGGCTAGGGGCAGGCATGGAGAAACTAGTTTCTTAGGAGCTAAGGATGATCATAAAGGAATCAATTTTCATTTCAGTGTAGAGGATCTGTGTCATCGTAGCAATGAATTGGAGAGTTCAGAAGATGTATAAAAGTCAAGTTGTGAACACATCTGGACTTGAGACACTCTGTGCCTGGCATGAAGACGCTTCAACAAGGAGACAGGAAACAACAGACACTGGGCATATGATGTGGACTCCTAGTCTCTTACATGCAGGCAGACTTAAACCATTTCTGTGCAAACTCTGCAAACAGAAGGGCAAGGCAAGGGGGGAGGGACAGGTTTCCAATGCCAACTATAAGCCCATATTTCACTATGTTTGGTCAGCAAGGGCAGCACGTGGACTAGGGGTGGGCTGGAGAGCAAGTGCACTGTGGTGGGAAGTGTGGTGTCACTCACTGTCTGCTCTGGCAGAGTGATCACAGCAGGCCTCTGTGGTACCCACCAGGCACATCTGCAATCAAGAGCACAGGAAGCAAGTGTGCTCACCTGACTGGCTTTGGCGTTGACGTCCCCACAGCCGAAGAGTTCTTCCACAACCCGCATGTCCTTTTCTGCCTCCACGGCAGCAAGGGCCGCCAGCATGATGGGGGTATACCCCGCTTTGTTCTGGTGATCCACATTACACACATCTGCAAAGAAGAGTCTATTAAGGGAGCAGCCATCTCCTAACAGCAGCTGCACACAGGGACAGAAGGTATGTGGTTTAGAAGAGGCCCAGTGAAATGGCACCAGGTAGTCAGAGAATGACTTAGGAGGAAATGTGAGAGATGATTTCATGCCAAACAAAAAAATTTTTTTTTCCATATCATGAAAGACAGTAAACTTCTACGGCACGTCTTGGTGATTGAACTGCAACAATCTTGATGTCTGTGAGGCTGTTCTAAGTAATGGCTTCTTTGGAGAATAAACTATATTAAATCTAGGCATTCAGCTGTATTTAGGAAATCACTGTTTTGGAGTGAAGCAGACATTGAGAGCCACAGATGAAAGAAGGGTTTGTAAAGGCTTGTGTATGAACACTGAGTATGTTGTTATCTACTTATCCAAACACTACTCATTCTGAGATCCTGAGTTTATAACTCTGATTCGTGCAGCGTCTGTAGAAGCAGAATTCCAGTCACATAACATCTAGCTCTAGGATTTGTGGTCTGAGAGTGAATGCATGAAGTCCTCTAAGAAACAGCCAGGGCTGGACAGACGCAGTGAACCAGACCTCTTCTATTCCTGTAATTCTTAAGGAGTCTTCAAGGGCGAAATTATCCTTTAGGCATTTAAAAGTTCTTTCAGCACTTTCTATGAAATGGTAAATGTTAGTAAGCAGCATTTATGTGTGACCAAGTTAAAACATTTAGAATGTTTTTTATCATAAAGGAGTAGAAAAGGTATCAATGAAAATTTACCTTAAGATCCCAAGCAACTGCATACTAAGTGCATAATGGTGTTTTTAAAAGTGCATATTTTTATGTAAAAAATGGAAAAGAAAAGGCTACAGAAGCAATAAGTACATGTGCTCTTTGAAGCTTCACAAATGGTGAAGCATCTTAGATTCATATTTTATAGAGCCAGAATCTCAGTGTATAATGGCAAGCAATAAAAATTAAGTAAATAAAGAGTGATTAATATCATTTAATTTGCCAAGATGTTTGATCCACTCTAATTTTCCAAGAGTATATTAAATTGTTCCTTTCAGAAGTAATACTGCAATCCTATTTCCAGCTTCCCTGGCTGGATATTATCCACTTCTGTTTAAACAATAACTTGGGCTGACATTATCGCCAGCTCTATTTAATGTCTGGAAAGTCTGAAGGGAAGAAGGTTTGAAATTCCTTCCTGTAAGATGGAAACAGTTATACCCTAACACAGCCCCTAAAATAGGGAACAAGCAAACTTAGAGGAGAAAGAAAAGGATCAATCTGTTTGAACTTCTTCTCTGCATTAATCCAAAATCCCCAAAGCAGAGTAGAAAACACTGGACAGACAAGTTCAGGAAAACTGGACAGTTTTCTTGCGTATTCTAAATCAGATGTTCACATTGTATCCTCATTAACACATTAACTGCCATGTGAGTTGTATTTAACTCATGCTAGTTTTGAGCCGGGGGCCTTGTGAAACATATGTAAGCATATGGTTTGTGAAAATCTTGTTGATGTTCTTGTTACAGTTGATAATTTAATTGCATATAACTCAGACATAGAAAGCAATAAAAAAATAACAAATTTTTCATTAAATCAGAAAGTATCATTTTTGGTTTCAAAGTTTTTCTGTTTTCACACTGGCCTTGAGGAAAAAATTTTTCTTCTAGTGTGGCAAGTCAATGTGTTAATTAGACTGAGGTACTGTGAATTCTATACCAGTCACACACTAAAAGTAAAAATATGTATTACAAAAATAAATGAAAGTGATTTGGGGACTATGTGTATCACTGGGTTGCTCCACTTGAACAAAAAGTTGAATGCTCCCTATTTCTCAAGGAGACCCTTCTATGTACCACTTCCTCACTTCATGTTTAGTATAGCTGCTGGTGACATTCTGGGATAGCAAATTTTCACTATTCTCACTATCATTGTTCACATATAACACTCGTTTCCTCTATATTGCTCCCTCAGTAACAGTATGTTTTAGCAAGAATGGTGGTGATTCTACCATGATCTGCTACAGTGGCTTGGCCTGGTGTCCATCTTGAGTCCCCTACTGCTGCAGGACCATAGGATGGTGGTCATGGAGCAAGGACAGACTGCTCCACAAGCACCAACGTTATGACTCTGGGCCTATGAGCAGCCCTTTGCCTCCTGGGAGCAAACCAGCCAAGGCTGCATGACTCAGCTCAGGAAAGAACGTGAGTCATGTTTATTACCAGGGATACACCTCACTTGAACACAACTGAACTGCAGCAAGAATATCCTCAAAACCTCCTTTCAAAACCAATCTGGAATCTGTGTCACCCAGTTTTATGTAAACTTCAAACCTCCCATGAATGTCTCAATAATACTCTTGTCAACGCATAAGGAAAAGCAATGAAAAGGATTTTAGGGTGGTCAGAGAATTCAGGAGTGGCTCAACCAGCTTTTTTGAGATGAGTCATGACCTAAGGGCTGTTAGAGAAGAGATGGGTGCAGCCAACATACCAGCGTCCAAAAGCAGCTTCACAATCTCAAAGTTGGAGTGGGACACGCTATAGTGGAGGGCTGTGTTGCCGTTGCCATCAGCCATGTTGATGACGTAGCGGAGGACGTCTGGGGAGATAGCCTCAAAAGCAGCTATGTAGTCCCCCACCATGGCTGGAACAGCTGATTTCTGACTGGACACGCGGAACCACTCGTGCTGGAGGGTGTTCAGACAGAACCTCTGCCAAAACACCAAGCAGCCATTAGTTTTTCTATTTATAAACCTTTCTGAGACCTAGCCTGAAAGCCCAAGTAGCTAGGCCATTTATAGTCAAAGTTCATGCAGTTAGAATCTGCTCTCAGAAACAACTAACGAAACCCAGAGCCCTAAGAGAAGCTTCAAACAGCAAACTGGGCCACCCCCCTCCTGATTTTAAGCCACATACATATTCTGGTTTCTATAAAAGAGACCATATAGCACTGTGCAAGACCAGAGGGTCTGGAGCCAGACCACCGACATTCAAATTTGGGCTCTGCTACTTATAAGGTATATGACCCTGGGGAAGTTACTTTTACTTTGTCTCAGCTTCCTCATCTGAAAATAGGGATAATACCTTCCTTTCACAGTGTTTGTGATGAGAATGAAACACTTAGGCCTGGCTCAATTTATTACCAAGCTATTAATGTTATGTAATTATGCTGGCCTTGCAAATGATTTTCATAGAAATCAGGAAGAAATTAATTAGCCCACACTTAATTATGCTGCTTCCTTCCTAACCAGCCCAACCTCAACTACTCCGATTCTTCCACAGTCCTATGCCTGGGGACCATAAGCATGAAGCCAACCCAGTTCCCACCCCAATCCCAAATACAAATGCTCAGCCATGGAAAGGGGACAAAAAGCAGGTCTGCAACTAATCTCATTTCTCATTCAGATCTTTTGTCTCTGATCATCAGCCCCACTCAGACTTCCTTAGGCCACATGAATGTGGCATTTGTTTTGTGGATGATCAAGTTAAGTATGACCACATGCAGCTTCATGCTGACCAGGCACACAGCCCAGGCCGGTGACAGGGATGACTGCAATGCCATTTTCTATGGGCCTTTTTTCCTATGACTTTAGCATTGATTTGTGCTTTGCTTACTCTTTACCTAACTTTCTTTTCTTCTACTCAAGTCTTTTACACATTTAGATTTCTATGTCTTTGGAGTCATCACACAGAAAAAAGGGAAATTATGTCCTCTGGCTGTCCTAATTCTGTTACTGCTTAAACAATCAGTGTCCTGATACAACTATTTGGCCCTGGCATTGTGACCGCTCAGATGTCTGCTACTTTTCAAAGCACAATACCTTAAACACTTTTACAGTGAATGGAAATTCAATCAACAAAAAATGTACTGGTCACAGAGTGTGTGCATAACACCATGCACGGCAATTTGGGGATGCAGGAATGTAAGGTCCTTCCTAAAAACCACATAACCTAGCATTCAGAACCATTAAACAAAAGTATACTATAGCTATAAAATCTGGGGTCCTAAAACAACAGTTTTAAATTCAGGTTAAACCTAGTGGGAAATACTGACACTTGCTGCAGTGATATTTCATGGTTTTACTATTTGTGACCAAGGTATAGCCAGGCCTTTAATTTGTACTAATGAATTTCAACATGCAGTTACATGTTTCTCCTTGACCAGGAATTTTATTCATACAGTTAACCCTCTGTATCTGCAGGTTCCACAACCACAATTCAACCAACTGTGGAGTGAAATATTTGAAAAAATATAAACAGGAAAAAATAACAATAAAAGTAATACAAATTTAAAAATACAGTGTAAGAATTGTTTACATAGCATTTACATTGTACTGGGTATTATAAGTATCTACATATGATTTAAAGTATATGTAGGTTATATGCAAACACTATGCTAAGAGAGGGTTATGACTCCACAGGTGCTATGACCTCATTTCACAGTTCATGGCAGAGTCAGTCCTTGTGGTCTTGGGAGATCAGCTGTCACTGCCCAGGTCTGCCTGCATTGCCAATGCCACTCCAGTGCTGCCCCCAAGCTCTTCTCTGAAAGATGAACAGGCATTAAATGAATACCTATTAGAACTACTCTCTGGCTCTTTTTAGGCTCAAAATTAAAAAGGAGGAAGAAAGGAGGGAAAAAAGTTTCATGATATTCTCTTGATGCACCTGGCTCTCCAAATGGCTTGGTCAAAATTTATCACCAGCATCCCGTGCCAAACACTTAGTTTGAATTGGCTGTCGTGCTGTCCATTTTAATGAGATGGTCCAACTCTTTACTCTTTAAAAAAACTGAAAACAGGTTGTTTTGGCCCAACAGCATGCTGAAATAACAGGTCTGGTTCAGCTTATCTTGGCTTTCTTGTTGCCTATACATTTCACAAGTCACCAGCAGTTGCACAAATTAAGCTAAGATTGCTTCTGCACCTGAGAAGAGCCAACTCAGAGGCTCCCTTGGGTTACCGCTCTGATAAGCTGTTTGCTAATAAGGTCTCAATTTGTATTTCAGCCTCTGACTTGCAATCCCGACCAAGCTGTGGAATGGTACAAGTGCTCTCAGCAATACCTCCTCCCTGTTGGAGCCCTGGAGTCCAAGAGCCAGTAGACCACACACTTGCCCTCCCTGCTAGTCCATCCATTAGCGTTGCTGACACTGTTATAAGTAACAGGATCAGGAGACAGGCTGTCAGGTGAAGCAGGGCAAGACAATTGTTTTTGATAAATGGCAAGAGTCTAAGGCACTTCAAACATTAATACATTAGGACCAAAGTAATTTACCTGGTATGAAGGAATCAATCCATAAATACAAAGAACTATATACTATTTTCTCTAGAGGCAAATAATAGCCAATTCCTCTAACACATCCAACTTTTATCAATGATACATAGTTGTGCATTATTTAATATGGTAATGTACATTATTTCTTCATTCTTTAATACTATAGTATAAAGTTGAAATAACTGTCAATTCATAGACACCTTTTATATAAAAAGTCGATAATACTAGATAAAACCAATTAAAAAAATTACTCTTTTATAAGTTCTATACTTTGAGAATTCCATCTTCTATTTTTAAATCAGAAACTACCAGCCCAAGTTGCTGATAGTCAAAGTCATTGCAACTTCCTTACTTTAAAGAATACAGACAAAAGGAACATCACCTTGGAATGGAATTTTGGAAGAGATTTCTATGATTCCACATTTAGTAAAATATTTGTGGAAATTTAACACGATGTCAGTGAAAACCTGACCACTTCTTAGTGTGGTGGGAGTGGAGTGGAGAAGTGAACAGAAGTGCCCTTCAGGTCAGGTTACAATTTCCACGACTGTACATAACGGAGCAGAGACTTGACAGCAACAGAGACTGGATTAAAGTGTGCCACACAGAGAGAAGATGGCAGAAAGAGCGTGCCAGGCCAGCAGTCTCTGCACTGTGAAAGCTTCAGCCTTTAGCCCTCAGCTTTATGCTTCTGTTTGCTGGTGAGCTCAGGCACAATACATATACATTCAGTACTGTCAACCAGAGAACAATAGCAGCTTAAGTGGCGTGTAAGATGGAGACCGATTTGCACGTAATCATTCAAATGAACCTCGGTGGGTGGGACCTGAGACGTCTTCCTCCAAGCCTAGGCGTGCCTAGAGACCAGGAAAATAAAATATTGGGATTAGTAAGTGACCTCAGGCAGATGTACCCCTGTGACATAGGAGCATGTCCTCATAGCCAAAAACCACCTGGACCCAGAGCCTGAGAGCTCTAGCCAAGAATGGGGGACAGATGTCCACAGCCCAGGCATGGCTCCAACGTCAGCTGGTCTCAGCAGTGCCATATCCAAGTTAACTGCCCGGAGAGAACTCTGGACTGCGGTGCTCCACCGTCTGCTTTAGGAACAAAGCCAAGACCATGGTGATATGTGCCATGGCTCGGGATGTCCATTTGAATAATTCTGCACAGAATAAAAACCTCCATGTGAGGATGTGAGAGGTTTTTATTCCTGTGCAGACAGCACAGCATCTGCTAAACACAGCTCTCCTGGCCTTCATGGTGGGGCAGACACAAAACGCTTAAACTCCAGGCTAAAACTTCCATTTTCAGAATCAACATAAAACCTGTGCCTGTCAGTTTCAAGGATGGAGGTCTGCCAGCTGGTAGATTTCAGCCATTTACAAATGCAATTCAACACTGACGGAGACGGCTTTGCGAAGTTGACGTGGGCATAGAGGAGAACAGCGATGTCCTTGTTCCTGCTTCCAGGGCTATTGAGAGCGCGGTGCTGCCACTTAAGATGGAAGAACAAGCCAGGTGGGTTTCTCAAACTTCCAGACAGCCAAAAGTACAAACCACTCTCTAGCAATTGACAAGGTTCCCAAATACAGCCATTGTTCACTCCTTTAGGAAACTTCTGAGGAAGCAAGATGAATGAGGCAAGCCTCAACCTCAAGAAACTTAGTCAAAGAGAGAATCACCCACCATTCCCTTTGTCTTTGCCTCACAATACTGCGGGAGGTCTGTACACTGTGGATCCCCAAAAAGTGCAGGCTGCCCATGAAGAACTCTATTCAACCATTGCCCACCATAAAGGAACAGTAGGAGGAGATGGGTAAAACATAATTTACTTTTTTCCTTATGATTACAACAATAACTAGGCAAGTACCATGGTGTGTGTTTGGAGGCCATGCAATTTGCCAATCTCTTTACTTTCCTCTTGGAGAGGGAGCTGTGATCCTAAAGCCCTAACCACCTCAGAGGTGGCTTGCATTAAGTAGAAGGAAACACCACATGAAAAGAAAATTCAGTTAAATGCTTGATTTCTATTAAATTGCAGGGTAGGATGGATGTAAAAGGAGTACCAAGGCAAAGGCCAAACATATTTCTGTCTAGTCTGAATAGGGATTTTCATCTTGTTCAAAAGCAGCAGGAAATAGTTGCATGGTGTTTACTCGCATGTCCTTCCCCCACACTGAGTTCTGGAGCTGCTTTTCTTCCAAACAAAAACCAAAACTCATCTAACACAAGCTGTCCTTGAGGAAAGAGAGTTGAAACTCTCCTCCCCTCAGGGAGCTTAAGGAATGTGAACAATGCAGCACCGTTTCAGCATATGTGGAGGTAGCTGAAACACTAAGATAGTCAACCCTTCAATCCAGTAAAACGCCCTATGGTTTGTTCTTGGTGGGCCTGACCCGAGGTATCTGAATTTTTTAGTGAAAGAGGATAT